CTTCGGCACGGAGGCCCCTCGCGCGATGCTCTGGAGCAATTGCGCAGCCTGGATCAGATCCAGCAGCGAGGAAGATGGCGCGCACGGGAGTCGGTGCGCATCTATGAAAAGCACGGCTCTCTCTTTCGTCAACGTGCAGCCGTGCCCGCCGCCGTCCGCCAACGTGCTGCCCACTTCTCGGCGGCGGACTTGCGGCACCTCGTCTCTCGCGTGGCCTGTTCGAGTCGGGCGCCCAGTTAATCTTCTTCCTTTTTCCTTTTTCTTCCCAACCCGCCCACCCAATGACGAATGATTTGGGGGTGGGAGATGCTACGCAGTCTTTTCTGGTAATTTGATCCGGGCCCGGGTCCTTTTCCCACTAGCTGCCACGCAAGCTCAGCATTATAGAATCTCAAGTGCACCTCGTCCTGTGTAAGGACGCGCCCTCAGTAAAAAGGATCGTCCGTCTCAGGTATGTCGAATGGTGGCCGCGCCTAGCTTGAGGAATGATTATCTTTGGATGCAGTTTTCCTCCGCGTCGAGCGGCCAAGCGAGAGGGGCTCCACCCCTTCCTTCTCTCTCCTCTGCTTGTCGCCCCTGCTGTTGCTCTCCCCTCTCGCGGCCATTCTGGTTTCAAGGCTTCCCTCCCTGCCCTCCCTGAGGAGCCAATGCTACGCAGTCTTTTCTGGTAATTTGATCCGGGCCCGGGTCCTTTTCCCACTAGCTGCCACGCAAGCTCAGCATTATAGAATCTCAAGTGCACCTCGTCCTGTGTAAGGACGCGTCCTCAGTAAAAAGGATCGTCCGTCTCAGGTATGTCGAATGGTGGCCGCGCCTAGCTTGAGGAAGTTTTTTTTTTTTTTTTTTTTTTTTTTTTTTTTTTTTTTTTTTTTTTTTTTTTTTTTTTTTTTTTTTTTTTTAAAAAAAAAAAAAAAAATTGTCGTTGAGCTCGCACTTCCGAAGAATAATTAGTGTTGGTAGCCTCTCCTGGGGCTCGCACCCGGTTTTCTATTAGGGAAATTCGTTCTGCTCAAACTGTGCCCCTGGTCCCTAATTTTCAACAACAGCGGCTCCCGCCTGATACGGCCTCACAATGTATTCCTAAATCTCGCTCTCGCGTGGGACTTCCTCACACTTTATGTACGAATCGCCGCGCTCTCGTGTGGGATTTCCTCGCGATTTATTCAGACGATGCGCCTTCGGCGCTCAGGAATCACGCTCTCGCTTCGGATTTTCTCACGATTTACTTAGGAATCTCGCTATCGCGCGAGAATTCCTCGCGGTTCATGCAGGACCCACGCTTCACCAACCCGCCTGCTCGACCTGGCCGCCTGGGCCCGCCTTCCCGACCTGCTCGCTATGGGTCTGCCCACCCAACCTGCCCGTCTGGTTCTACCACTTGTTTTCTGCTCCTTGCCCCCTCCTTCTAATGCTCCATTCTTCTCCCTCCCCCTTCCACCCGTCCTCTCCTCCCCTGTCATATGAACTGCACCAACTGCACGTGGCAGATAAGGAAGACATATCTCCAAGGGGGTACGATCGAAAACGACGAGGGCGGGTACGAGTTCTCGGGATATACGTATCGGTTGTCACGTGAGAAGGTAGGAGCGAACAGTTTTAAAATGGTTGTTGCTGTTTTTGATGCTTTGTTTGTTTTTGTTGTTGTTGTTGCTGCTGCTGTTATTGTTGCTGTTGTTGTTGTTGTTGTTGCTGCTGTTGTTGTTGTTGTTGTTGTTGTTGTTGTTGTTGTTGTTGTTGTTGTTGTTGTTGTTGGTTGTTGTTGTTGTTGTTGTTGTTGTTGTTGTTGTTTTTGTTGTTGTTGTTGTTGTTGTTGTTGTTGTTGTTGTTGTTGTTTTTGTTGTTGTTGTCGTTGTGTTCATTGTTTTTCTTTTTGCTTTTGTGGTTGTTGTTATTGTGATTGTCGTTGTTGATGTTGTTGTCGTTGTTATTGTTGTTGTTGCTGTTGTGGTTGTTGTTGCTTCTGTTTCTGTTGCTCTTGCCGTTGCTGCTGCTGCTGCTGTTGTTGTTGTTGTTGTTGTTGTTGTTGTTGTTGTTGTTGTTGTTGTTGTTGTTAATGTTGTTGTTGATGTTGTTGAGTTTTCGTTGTTGAAGAAGACTTATTGTTGATTCCCCCTCCGGTGACAATTTGTTTTTTTGTCAATTGAAGTGCTTCCCCCGAGGCTCGCGCCCAAGCTGTGTTGTTGGCCCCCAGTTCTCAACAAGAGCGGCTCCCGCTTGATATTCCTTACAATTTATACCCAAATCGCGCTTTCGCGCGGGACTTCCTTGCAATTTGTATACGAATCGCACTCTCGCGTGGGGCTTCCTCGCATTTTATTCAGATGCGCTCTCGGCGCTCAGGAATCCTGCTCTCGCTTGGGCCTTTCTCACGATTTACTTCGGAATCTCGCTATCGCGCGAGAATTCCTCGCGGTTCATGCACGACCCACGCTTCAGCAACCCGCCTGCTGGACCTGGTCGCCAGGGCCCGCTGTTCCGAGCTGCCCGCTATGGGTCTGCCCACCCGATCTGCCCGTCTTGTTCTACCAGTTGTTTTCTGCTCTTTGCCCCCCTCGTGCTGTCTCGTGCTCCATTCTTTTCCCTCCTCCTTCCACCCGTCTTCTCTTCCTTATTATAGGGGCTGCACTAAATGCCCCCAAGTGGGTACGAACGGAGACGACGAGGGCGGGTACCGAGTTTTTGGGATGGACGTATTGATTGGCACGTGAGCAGATCTGAGCGAACAGTCTTAAGCTTGTAGTTGTGTTGGTCGTAGTAGTAGTAGTCGTAGTAGTAGTAGTAGTAGTAGTAGTAGTAGTAGTAGTAGTAGTAGTAGTAGTAGTAGTAGTAGTAATAGTGTTAGTAGTAGTAGTAGTAGGAGTAGTAGTAGTAGTAGTAGCAGTAGAAATAGTAGTAGTAGTAGTAGTAGTAGTAGTAGTAGTAGTAGTAGTAGTAGTCGTAGTCGTAGTCGTAGTAGCCGTAGTAGCCGTAGTACTCGTAGTAGTGGTCGTGGTGGTGATTGTTGTTGTTCTTATATTTACTCACCATTTACATCTAGTTTTAATGTATGATTCCGCCTCGCCGGTAACCATTGCATTTTCAATCTAAGTGTTTCTCCCGGGGTTCGCACCCTGTTCTTTACAAGGGGAAATGAGGCGTTATCAAATTGCGCCTTTGGCCCCTGGTTTGCAACAACAACGGCTCCCGTTTGATATTTCCTCACAATGTGTTCCCACATCGCGCAATTTATACAGGAACCGCGGTCTCGATTAGGATTTCTGAGGCTTTCGCAGTGGAGTTCCTTACGAATTACCGTAAGGGCTTCGCCCCCTGCCGCTGGTCTCCCTCTCTTAGAATGGGACTTGCCAGAGCTGTGTTGGGATGGTTGGCCGCTGACGTGAAGCAATGTCGGGACTTCACGCGAGGGCCAATATTGATATACAAGGGTTTATGGCTTCGGTGGCGCGAGTATTTTGTAATTTACGTTGATTCACGGCTTCGGGGACGCGAGTATTATTTATTTTACGCGGGTTTGTGGCTTCGGAGACGAAAGTATTGTGTCATTTGCAAAGGTTTATGGCCTCGGGGGGCAAACATTGTGTAATTTGCAAGGGCTTGTGGCTTCGGGGACGTCAGTACTGGGTAACTTGCAAGGGTTTGTGGCCTCGGGGACGCAAGCACTGTGTAATTTATGAAGGTTTATGGCCTTGGGGAAGCGAATATTGTTGAATTATATATGGTTTACGGCTTCGGGGGCTCGAGTATTGAATACTTTTAAAGGGTTTCTGGTTTCGGTGGCGCGAATATCGTGTAATTTACTAGGGTTTGTGGCCTCGGGGTGCAACTATCGTTTAATCTATGACGGATTATGGCGTCGGGGACGCGACTATCGTGTAATTTTCGAGGGTTCCTGGCCTCGGGTACGCAAGTATTGTATACTTTACGATGGTTTATGGCTTCGGGAACGCAGGTATTGTATAATTAATATGTTTTTTTGGTTTCGGGGACGCGACTGTTTATATTGTACAGAAGGTTTTTGGCATCGGGGTCGCACATACTGCGTCATTTACGAGGTCGTATGGCCTCGGGGACGCGAATATTGAGTAATTTACGAGGGAGTGGCTTCGGGGGCGCGAATCTCATGTATTTTTATGTGTCCCGCGACCCCCTCGGGAATTCAGAGCACGCGATTCGGAGACGCTAGCCAGGACGCTTTCCAGCTCCCCCAACAGTAGGAAGCAAAAGGCAGGACTGTAACATTGGAGACTTGAAACTGGAACTGGTGCAGGCAGCATGAAAGCCTAATCTTCGCAGTCTGATGGTCCCGCAAGGGGGCCGGCGGATTTGGGAGTCGCGCTATTGCTCCAGACTCCCTCGCGATTCATGCAGGACGCACGCTTCAGCAACCCGCCTGCTCGACCTGGTTGCCTGGGCCCGCCTTCTCGACCCGCCCGTTAGGGTCTATGCGCCCGATCTGCCCGTCTGGTTCTGCCACGTGTTTTCGGTCCCTAGCCCCCATCCTGGCACTCCCTCTCGTGCTCCAGCCTCCTCCTCCTTTCCCTTGTCCCTGCCATCCATCCGTCCACTCTTCCCCTGCCTGAGGGCTGCACGGAATACACGTTGCAGGTATGAAATATATACCCTTGTTCGGGTTCGATCGACGACGAAGGGTGCGGGTACCGATGGTTTCGGATACACGTGTTCAATGGCACGCGATCAGATAAGAGCGAACAGTCTTGAACTGCTTGTTGTTGACATTGTTGACTTTGTTGTTGACTTTGTTGTTGTTGCTGTTGTCGTAGTTGTTTGTTTGTCTGTCTGTCTGTCTGTTTGTTTGTTTGTTTGTTTGTTGTTGTTGCTGTTGTTGTTGATGCTGTTGTTGCTGTCGTCGTCGTCGTTGTCGTCGTCGTCGTCGTCGTCCCCGCCCCCGTCGCCGTCTGGTTTGCCTGTCGGCGACGACCACATGGGCGACAGAGGCGTCGGCGACTGGCGACTACGGCGGCGGCGTGTGCGCAGCGCAGGCGCTGTGGCACGACACCGAGGCCAGGCAGCGCATCGCAGCTGGGCGGTACGACATCGTTGTCTTGCAGGACCGACGGGCCGACTGACATGTGGATGCCGTTGGCGAGGTTGCCGACGTGAGTGGATGCTCCCCGCCCGCCAGGCTACCCCTCAGGTGCCCTCCTGTTCGGCATTTCCAGCTCCTTTGCAAACTCTCCATTGCCAACACTTATATGCCGCCCTGTCTTTTTTGCCAACCTTGCGTCATGTTCTTGTTTTTGAATATAGCATCGTGGGCGCGTCTCTCCTTCCGCCTTCCTCCTCCTCTCTTCTCCTCTACTCTTCCTCCTACCTCTCTCCCTTTTTCTCTCCTTCTTCTTCTCCTCGTCCTCCTTCCCTCACCACTCCACTTCCTGCTGCAGATCGGTAATGCTGTGACAAGACCCTTTTCCTGTCTCCGACCCGCTCGCGCTGCCTTGTCGCTTGGTCTGCTTGGGAAGTGAATCCAGCGCGACTCCAATCGGCGGGGTTCTTCGTGTCGGAGATGTAGCAGTGCGATGCGTCTCTTTGCAACTGCATCATACCAATTATCATTGCGTTGTTTTTATTGCTATGCTAGGTGTGACTGGATTGATCAGCAAACCGACGATATGCAAAGCAATACGGCGCGAGGCATTTTTCGAGTAGTTCTTCCGAATAATGTTCAACGATTTTGCGCATGCACTCGATGGCTCAAGAACAGCTAACTATATCCAAGAGGACCCTGGGAGAGCCCACGACATGCCCAGCACGCTTCCAAGGAGGCCCCAAGATGGCCCAAGAATACCCCAGGTGGGCCCTCATCTTGTACTGGGAGGAGGAGCAGGGCAGGAAAGAGTCCTGAGAGAGGAACAGGGAGGGACGTGGGAAATGTGTGGCAATCCCAGAGCGGCTTAAGTGCGGAGCGTGACCACCCCGGCATGCGTGCAGGCGTGTCGTGCTCTTGTTCTGCCTTGCGCCGGAGCCAGCTCGCGAGAGCGCAGGCGCGCGGGCGTGGTTCTAGGTGGATTGGGTCACACAATTTTCTGGGTTGTTCGGGGCGCGTAAACGTGGTTGCGTTCTTCTCCTTCTTCTCCTCGCGGGGGGATGCCCTTAGCCTCGTGAGTGCCGCTCGTGGGGGGGGGGTAGCAGGGGGTGTTCAGGGGCTTGGCTTGGTGGCGGTGCGTGGGAGGACCATGGGTGGCGGGGCCCCGTCGCCGTGGAGCCCAAGGGTGGCGCCGGCTCCTGGTTGCGTAGGAAGTGGGCAATAAAGCGGCGCCAGCGCAAGGCTTGTGCCTTGGCTTGCCACTGCTGCAGCCTCAGCGCGCATGAGTCCTAGCTTCGCTTCAGTCTCAGGGTAACCCTTTAATCCCATCAGCTAATGAGGGGAGCTGCGGTATTCCGTTCCCCAACCCATCCGCCCTGCTCCCAGAGAGGAGGGGGGGGCAGATGATGAGGCTGAGGAGGAGGAGGGGAGGGCGAGGGGTACAGGGATAGCCGCAGGGTCTCATCCTCCCTCTCCCTCCCCCGCTCTTGCCCACCCCTCCGTGGAAGGGTGGGGCCGATGTGTGATTGTGATGAGTTGGGCATTGGGCCCCGCGAGGAGGACTTGCCAGAGACCGACCTCGCGACCTTCAGGGAGTATGCCCGACGTTTCGCGGGGGCCTGCGCCGAGGCTGGGGCCGGCATGGTCCTCTTGGCCGCGTGGGGCTACCGCCGCCTAGGCTGGATCTCCACGGAGGAGATCGCGCAGGCGGGCCGATCGGAAGCAAGCAGCGCAGCCTGGGAGTGCTCACGGGGCAGTGCCGGGAGGGTATGGGGCGGGGCACGCGGTGGGAGTCCTGTTTCGAAGACTCTGAGACCACGCAAGCCCAAGCTCTCGGAGGTCCGAGCGGATTTCCCGGATCGGCGCGGGGCCTCCCTGGCGGCGCCTCCTGCGCCGCCCCTGGCGCGGGTCCAGCGCTGATCCAAGACATCCGCGCGTACGGTAGGCTCGCATCGTGCCGACTGCCAGCGACCCCGCCGCCAGCGTTCAACTTTGAACGCCGCCAGCGACCCAGAATCGGCCCATCGTTGAATGATCTGGCGTTTCTGAAACAGCCGATCGTTCAAGGTCGAACGATCCCCGAGTTGTCAGGAACCGACGCCGGGACCGACACGACACGCACCTGCCGAACGAACGAAGGGAGGGGCCGTGCCATCACAGCACATCGGCTGCGGTGCAAGTGGTCTGTGAAATGTCACTGGGCGCGTTCCACTACTCTAAAAGTGCCTACTCGCAAACGTCCGGAACAAACATGTCTCCCTCTATGTAATGTATCGTAGATCCCCCGCGGAGGATCCAGGCTGTTTGCGAGTAGCTACTTTGCGAGTAGCGGAGCGCGCTTGTCGATTCATAGCGGCTCGTCAGCCGTCTTACGAACCTGCTGTACCTCCGAAAATTTATTCTCCTCTCGTTCTCGCTCCTCGACTGCTCGCTGCCTTCCCGAGGGCGCCCCGGCCGTCCCGCGGCCCTCGCCGTCCCTCCCGCCTTCCCTTTGCCCGCGTGCCCCACTGGTACACCCGTCGCGCCCCGTCGTTCGCGGACCGCTTGCAGCCAGCTCGCCGCCGATCAGAAGAGCTGCTGTACTCCCCCGGGGGCCGGCTGGCCCCCCTGAGAGTACCCTCTGGAGCACCTTCTGCAGCACCCCGATCAGCCGAACAGGTATGGGCCCAAATGGGTGGCCGAGAGCGTGCCCGAATTTGTGACCGCAAGCATGGTGCGACCGCATCTGTGACCGAGCTCGAAGCCCGCTTGGGTCTCGAGCCGCGAATGTCGGCCACATTCCGGCGCGTTCGGAACCAAAAATTGGACGCCGGTTTTTCGGTCGCTCTCGGGCAGCCTTTCGGGCAAGAGACGAGGCTGCGTGGCTATTGTTTGCTGTCCTCCCCCCTGGGGGCCAGCCCCTTGGAAGCACCCCTCTGGAGCACCACGGGGCCTTCGGGGTCGGCCGGGCCAGGCCCACGCCGAGGTGGCGGCGCAGCTGGGCGTGAGGGTGGCGCCGGTGGCGGGGCTGCAGCCCAGCAGGTCGGCATGTCTTCGAGGCCTCGTCGCCCCGTCTCGAAGGATCGGCGGCGAGCGAGGGGGGAGGTGAGAAGGAGAAGGCCTTGTCAGAAGGCTCGGAAGCCCCCCAGCCTCCCGAGAAGTTTTCGGAGCCGCCCCCGCAGGCACAGGAAGCTTCTCAGAAGGCGCGAGGCCTTGGAGAAGTCCCGCCGCCTTCTGAGAATGCCTTCCCCCCCAAAGATCCGATGTTGTGATATTTTCAATGCGGGGTCCCCGGAAGTCTCGGCCCATTCTCCAGGACCAGCTGTTCATCCTGAGTCGTCTTTTGACGGTCCATGGCCCGGGGATGGCCTCCAGAGGCCGAAAACGGCGAACAACTTCAGTCTTAATTGTGAAGGCCTGACGGCCGGTGCCGCCGACCCTGAAAGACATCGACGACGACCACGAGGGGGAGGAGGAGGAGAAGGAGGAGGAGGAGGTGGAGATAAGGAGGAAGAGGAGAAGGAGGAGGAGGAGGAGAAGGAGGAGGAAAAGGACTCCCCCTAGCTCTGGGGAGGAGGACCGGAGGAGGACCGGCGCGGGAGAGTGGAGGGGAGGGGGAGGATGACCCCCAGGGACGGAGGCGTATCTGACTCCCCTCCCCCCCCGGGACTCCTCCCCACCTGGGGAGGTGGACCCGAGGAGGACCGGCGCGCTGGAGAAGGACCGGCGTGGGAGAGGAGGACCCCCAGAGGCGATGCGAATTTGACCCCCCCCCTCGGGACCCCCCCCCCGCTGGGGAAGGGACAAAGGGAAGGGGCTTCCCTTGACGTTGTGAGGACGTGGATGGAATTCCCTCAAGCTGCGAATCCGTTCCCCGAACGAGGAAGGGTGCTCTCTTTCTTTCTTTCTTTCTTTCTTTCTCTCTCTCTCTCTCTCTCCCCCGACGGGAGAGGAGGATGGGAAGGAGAGGACGACAGAAGGCTCCCCGTCGACGGGACTGGACAGCCCCCTAAACACGCCGACAGGGAAATCCGCGCGGATCTTCGATAATTTCTGTTGAAGCGTTTGTCATTGTCTATCACGGTGCCAAGCGGCCAAGCGCCCCCCACGCGTTGGCCGAACAATCTTTGAGATTGCCTCCGTCAGGAAATACGAACATGAATAGCTGATTTCCATCCCCCCCCTCTCCTCCCCCCTCCTTCTCAAGCGCGCCTGTCACTACTATATCCTGCGTTGTTCTTTCGCCGCCAGCTTTTCTCCTCATGGCAGCCCTGTTTTACTGTTTCGCCGTCCCCACGAGTGGGGCGTGACTCTCTCGGGCGTCCGATCGGACCTTTGTTGTTGTTGGCCCTGTGCGACATGGCACCCTCCAGCTGGCGAATCTCCCGCCACGAGGTTTGCCTGTCCACGGCGAGCACGCCAGCCCCCTCCGCCGCAAGGGCCTCGCCGGGAGGGCCGTCGCCATCCCCCGAGCTCTCCTCGGAACACCCCCCTGGAGGTGCAGGACGCCGCAGGCCAGGGCACCCCGCCCCACTGGTTAAGTCGGGCCTGTCCCTCTACAGGAGGAATATTCCCGAACAGTCAACAAATAGTCCGGGGACGATTTTTGTAGCATTTTCCAGGTCTGTTCTGAGTACTTTTGGGTATTCTTCATTTTTCGTCCAAATCCGCCTGTACGGGGACATGCCCGAACGCTTGTGGCCGGGACCCCTCAGGGTCCCCCACAGGATCCTCCGGGGTGCTCCTGGGGCCGTGCGCGGGGCCCTGCTTCTGGACCTCCGTTGGGGGCCCTCCTCGCGGGTATGCTCATGGAAGGAAGCATCAACCATGGAGAACGTATGACGAAGGCCTTGCGGCTGATGCCTTCGACCCTGCAGGGGGACGACGGCGGTGGCGGCGGCGGCGACGTCGACGACGACGGTGATGCTCCGGAGCCCTTCGTGGGGCCGGGGGCCGCGGCAGCGAGGGAGGGGACGTCGAGGCCTGGCGCGTTGCCAGGGGGAAGCACGCCCCAACCCCCGAGAGGCGCGTTGCCAGGGGGAAGCACGCCCCAGCCCCCGAGAGGCCATCGGTACGAACTCGGGGCCCACGTGACGGGGGTCAGCGCCAACGGGGGTCAGTCGGTCCCCTCTGGCTGACTCGGGCTTGGGAACCATGCGGGGCCGACTCGTTCCTGGCCGCCCTCCGCCGACCCTGGTCTGGGAGCTACCGAGCGGCGAGCCGGGCTTCGCGACAGGGCCCTGATCGACCTGGGTTCGGGCCGACCCGGGCTGGTCGGTCCCCGAAGTGCGTGTTCTTGCGGGCGCTCGGCTGTGGGGGATGGCGACCAGGGCTGGACCTAAGCGCTGTTTTGCCGAACTTCGGCTGTGTTCTGTTTTTTCGTCTTGGCAGGGAGGTGCAGGCAGGAGAACAGGTGGGGCAAGACGAAAAACAGAGCGCTTGGGTCCAGCCCTGGTGGCGACGCACGAGGGGCGGGTCGAGGACTGCAGGAGCGTGGCCGCAGAGGGGCAGCGGACGGCCGCCGAAACTGCCACCGCGGCCCCTCCGAGGTGCTGGAAAGGTGTGGGTTGCTTCGCCCCTGGTGAAATTCTTCAGTATCGTTTAAACAATCCCCATCCCCATCCCCATCCCCTTCGAGACCCCCACCAAATTACCACCCCACTTGGGAATACACCCCTCAAAACCCGAAGGGAACCACCTACATCCCCATCTGGGCGGGTAAATCGGACAGTGGGGCCCAGGCCACGCCGCTGGGGATGGGGATCGGTGTAACGATAATTCTCGGGGTCGGACAGAACCCCCACCCTGACACGTCGATTAGTGAATTGTCCGTTTGGTTCTCGAGAGGGCGCCGAGGCCGTCATTTTCCAGCCGTGCGCCCGCCAGGTTTGGGCCCGAGGTCGTTTTCGCTAAGCCGCCTTTTGCTAAAGGGGGTTCTGTCCATCCCCGAAATTCCGTTTGTCAGCCAACGCCAGCTTCTCATCGTTGCTCTTTTTCGGGGTTCATTTACTCGGCCGCCAGACCTGTCCGAGGGTGTGTTCCGGCCACAGTTTCTAGAGGGGAGCGCAGTCGTGTCGGCGAGAAGCCTCCCCCAGGCCCAATTTGCCTGGCGAGGGGCCCAACCCTTAGCAGGTTCATGTAGCGTTGGTGATGTGCTTCCTCATGCGCGGCCCATGTGAGGGGTGTGGCGGGGAGACGCATGCAAACTGTCCAACTGGGGCCATGTGTGGAGCTCCCGAATGGGCGCGACAAATGTGAGGGTCCGCCGAACTGTGCGGGGAAACGCATGACAACTCTCCCACGGGCCGTAGGTCGGGCTCCTGTGAGGGGTGTGCCGAAACGGGCGGCGCCGCCATGCGGACCCTCCAACTGGGGCCGTATGTCGGACTCCCTACATGACCGCAATCCTCGTGAGGGGTGTGCCAGCATGGGCGGCGCCGCCATACGCACCCTGCAACTGGGGCCGTGGGTGGAGAAACGTGTGAGAGACGTGCCGAAGTGAACAGCGCCGCCACGCGGATCCTCGCGCTGAGGCCGCAGCTCCCACACGAGGCCACGATCCTCGCGAGTGGCGCGCTGAAGTGGGCGGCGCCGCCACACGGCCCTCCCACTGGGGCCGCAGGGGGAGCTCCCCATGAGGCCACGGCCCTCGTGAGCGGTGCGCCGAAGGGGAGCGGCGGCGCGGCGCCGCCACGCGGGCCCCCGCACTGGGGCCGCAGGTGGAGCTCTCCAGTGGGGCCACGCTCCTCGTGAGGGGTGTGCCGAGATGAGGCGGCGCTGCCAGGCGGACCACCTCGCCGGGGCCGTGGGTGGAGTTCCCCACGGGGCCACGAAGCGTGTGAGGAGCGTGCCGAGATGGGCGTGCGGAGGAAAGCGGCAGGAGGGGTGGGAGGGATGGCGGGAGTGAGTGAGCGAGTGAGGTGACGCGGGGCCCTGCTGATTGATTCAGAGCGAGGTCCCAACACCACAGGATGGTGGGGAGAAATATGGAGAACGTGCTGTGGGGCGGGGTCGCCAGGGCGGCGGGCGGGCTGGTGTCTCGGGCCCCCCCCGAGGGGATGTCCCCAGCCGCCCGCAGCAGCAAGCCAGGTGGGCATGGCTTGGAAGCGGGCGCAGTCCGGCAGGGCGGTCAGGCTCCTGTCCAAGGACCGGCTCGTGGGCAGAAGAGGCATGCACAGGGAGGAGCGGCGGACAGCTCCCTCCTCCCCATCCCTCTCCAGGTCGTCCTCCCCCCAGTGATCGTCATGCTGCTGGTCGAACAAGACAGACTCGGAATAAGCATAAGCATGTGGAGGTGGGCCATGCATGTTTTTTGCGTTCAAGACTCGTCCCCGTCCCCTGCGTGATCGTCATGCTGCTAAGGGCCTGCTCCTCCTAATGGCTAGTAACCGTGCTGTTCCTCGTGCTGTGCTGTCGTATCGGGTGCATCTCCTGCTCCGTGAAGGTCGTTGTCGTCATGGTAATACTGCTCGATGTCATGACGACCCGCGGCACGTTGGTCATGATCTGTGGTCCTCCGACATGGCTGCTGCTGCTGCTGCTGCTGCTTCACCTCCTTCTCGCGGTCGGTCGCTTCTGCCCCGGCTTCGGGCTGGGTTGGGCCAGGGCATAGGGGGCTGACGGCTGGGCGGGGGGCACCGCGCGCGCGCAGCGCCTCGCAAGAGAGAGAAAGAGAGAAAGAGAGAGAGAGAGAGCGTGGCGACCCCGACCCATTCCCGCGAATCGGGCGCATTGGCAAGCGAGCGCGGCTAAAGCGCAGTCCTGGCTCGGCTCTTCCCCTTGCGGCACTTCCCCAAGCTCTAGCCGCGAAGCCACTGTGCGTCGATTCGTGGGTGGGGGGCCCGCCTCGCCGTCGTTGCGATTCCGCGATTGCGCGGCCTCCTAATTCCGGGTGTTGTCAGAGGCGTCCCTGGCCCAAGGTGTCCCCAGCTTCTCGCCCCATTTTGGAGCCCCTGGGGCCGTCTGCGCCTCGTGAGGGGTGCTCTGGAGGCCGTGGGGTCCTGAGGAGGAGGAGGCGGAGGAGGAGGAGGCGGAGGAGTAGGAGGAGTAGGAGGAGGAGGAGCAGGAGGAGGAGGAGGGCGAGGAGGAGGAGGAGGAGGAGGAGGAGGAGGAGGAGGAGGAGGAGGAGGAGGAGGAGGGAGGAGGAGGGGGAGGGAGGAGTGCCGGGGACACCTCTGGCAGCATCAGACAATCGCGGCCGCGCCGCGGCTCTCCGGCGGGACGGGAAGGACGGGGCTTCGGACCTCGGCAGGAGCGGCGCGCCGCGTGAGCCCTTCAGACCGCTTCGTTGTGCTGGGCGTTTCAGTCGTGACCTGCCGGTATCTCTCCGCTTTCTTTCCTGGACCTGGGTCTCGGGACCTGGGCCAATCCATGCTCCATGCTTCGTTCTCCCCCCTCCCCTCCCCTTTCCTTTCTCCCCCTCCCTCGCCACCCCGCGTGCGTTCGCGGGGTGTTCCGAATCGAATGCAAGTCACCACGCGGGCCTTGGTGCTGGGGCCTTCGGTGGAATTCGCTACGGGGCCACCCAGCGTGCGAGGGGTGCGCCGACTCGGGCGCGGGCACGACATGCGAACCTTGCCGCTGGGGCTTTCGGTGGAGCTCCTCGTGGGGCCACGAAATGCGTGAGGTGTGTGCCGAATCGGCTGCGGGTGCGCTACGCGGACCCTGCCATTTTGGGCCTCTGGAGCTCCGTATGGGCCCACGAAGCGTGCGAGAGGTGTGCTGGATCGGGGTGCGCCGAATCGGATGCGGGTGCGCCGTGTGGACCCTGCCGCCAAGGCCCGCCACGAAGCTTGGTGTGTGTGTGTGTGTGTGTGTGTGTGTGTGCCGAATCGGGTGCGGATACGTCGTGCGGGCCGTGCTGTTGGAGCCGTTGGTGGAGCTACCTACGGGTCCACGAAGCGTGTGAGGAGTGTGCCGCATCGGGTGCGGGTGCGCCATGTGGACCCTGCCGCTGGGGCGTTTGGTGGAGCTCCCATGGGGCCACGAAGTGTGTGAAGGGTGTGCCGAATCGGGCGCGGGCACGTCATGCGGACACTGCTGCTGGGGCCTTCGGTGGCGTTCCCCATTGGGCCACGAAGCGTGAGAGGGGTGTGCCGAATTGGGTGGGGGTACGCCATGCGGATCCTGCCGCTGAGGCGTTCGGTGGATCTGCTGTGGGGCCCTTCGGTGGAGCTAATGGGGACACGGAATGTGTGAGGGGAGTGCCGAATCGGCTGCATGTACGCCATGCGGATCCTGCAGCTGGGGCTTCGGTGGGCCTCCCTATGGGGCCGCGGAACGTGTGGGGGGTGCGCCGAATCGGGTGCGGGTACACCATGCGGATCCTGTCGCTGGGACCACCTGTGGGGCTCCCTTACGCGGCCACGAAACGTGTGAGGGGTGTGCCGAATCAGGTGCGGGTACGCCATGCGGACTCTGCTGTTTTGGCGTTCGGTGGGGCTCCCTATGGGGGCACGAACGTGTGAGGGGTATGCCAAAACAGGGAAGCGCGAAGAGGAAAGATGAGGGAAGTGGCGGGGGGCGAGGAGGAAGGTGACGCGGGCGTTCTGTTCTCAAAACGGGGACCGGACCCCCCCTGATTGTTGGGAATACCGGGCAACCAGACTTTGGCATTGGCAGACTAAGTGGGGGCATTGGCAGACTAAATCTTGTGAGAGACCCTATCCAGCGATCTCTCTCTCTCTCTCTCTGTATATATATATATATATAGATCTAGAGAGAGAGAGAGAGAGAGAGAGACAAAGAGAGAGAGAGAGAGAGAGAAAGAGAGAAATTGAGAGAGAGAGAGAGGAAGGCAGAAAGAGTGAGAGAGAGAGAGAGAGAGCTGGCATCCGAATTCACACTGCGCAAGTCGACACAGGCGTGGAGGACAAGGGCGAAGGGGGGACGACTGGATCGGAGGGCGCCGTGGGCGGCCTCGTGGCCGACCCCGCCGCCAGGGCGCCCCGCTCCCGAGCGGGCGCTGCGCGCCAGAGCCAGGACCCGCCCCCCGCCCAGAGGACCGCGAGCACCCCAGCCCCTCCGGCACGTATCTTCGGAGGAGGGCCGGGTGAGACAGCGGCGGCTTTCCCGCCCGGCCCCGGATCCGCTCAAATTGCCGAGCGCGTTCCACTGCTCGCGCAGTGCCTACTCGCAAACGTCCGAAACACGCCTGTCCGCTGAGGATGTGATTTATCGTGGGTCCTCCACGGGGGATCCAGGCCACTTGCGAGGAGTTACTCTGCGAGGAGTGGGGCGCGCTCGTCCACCAAAGGCGGCCCCGCGGGCCCCATCTCCCGGCTCCACCCCGACCCGCCTCTCCCGGCGGGCCCGGCCAGGGCCCACGGCCTCGGGGAGCCGAGCCGCGGAGAGGACGGAACAAGCCACGGCCCGACGATCGACGCTCGGTCCATGCCCCCTGCTGCCGACCCCACGCTGGGCTCCAAGGGGAGCACGGCGTGGACAATCAAGCGTGGCCTCGGAGGCTGGGGATTTATCCATATCCCCGCTCGGGCTCCTCATCGCGTCGGGACTTGAGCAGGAGCGTTCGGGTGGGGAATCGACTGCAGCATTGATTCACGCAGAACTGAGTCTCTCGTCGACTGTACAAAAAGTCCGTACCATGTCCTTGGATCTACGAGCGTTCTACGCACACCGTTGGGGTACATCCATTCTGCAGTCGATCCCCTCCTCCGGGCACGGGCAACATGCCGATCGCCCAGGGGAGGGCGGCCGCTCTCTCGACCTGGCCCCCCTCCGACATCTGGCCGCGGCGGTCGTCTTCGCCGCCCTCTGGGACCGCAGCCCAGAGGGGCTCGCCTGCACCGCGGGCGGCCTCGTGAGCCCCGGGGACGCGGCGTTCCTGCAGACGGCGGGCTCGGCCCGGAGCTGCTCTCGGGCGGTGCCTCAGGGGAGGTCGGCGCCCCAGGGCGGGGGGGGGTCACCGCCTCGTGGGGGGCGAGGAGATCGCGGGGGAGGGCGTCGGAGGAGCAGGAGGCGTGACAGGATCTCTGAGGTTTCCCGGCTCCCCCACGTTGCCGAACGTTCCGCACTGGCTGCGCCTCTAGATACTCTGTCAATCCTGGAGCGTATCTTGAGCCCATCCCATCATCGGCGTCACCCCAACATACTTATACCATATGTGCGTCGCGCCTCCAGGGGCGACGCGCGCACCGAGAAATCCGTAAGGGCTTCGCCCCCTGCCGCCGGCCCCCTCTCTCGGAGAATGGGCCATGGAAGAGCTGAGTCATGAGGCTTTGGCGCTGTCGTGCAGCAGTATTGGAACTTCATGCGAGCCCGATTCGCAATCGGCAAAACCAACTGATCACAAGAGGGGTTACCACACAGGGCGATTGGTAAGACGTGTATGGTTTACGAGCTTGGTTACCACACCTTGGGATTAAAGGGCCGAGGGAGTACTCGCAGTTTGGGTTACCACGCCTTGCGATGGATGTGCGTGAGGGGTGGCACCGAATTTCAGAAATGTGGCAAATCCCCTGTGTTTTTGGACCCTGACCCCGCGGATCTGCGTGAGGGGTGGCACCGAATTTCAGAAATGTGGCAAATCCCTGTGTTTTTGGACCCTGACCCCGCGGATCTGCGTGAGGGGTGGCACCGAATTTCAGAAATGTGGCAAATCCCATGTGTTTTTGGACCCTGACCCCGCGGATCTGCGTGAGGGGTGGCACCGAATTTCAGAAATGTGGCAAATCCCATGTGTTTTTGGACCCTGACCCCGCGGATCTGCGTGAGGGGTGGCACCGAATTTCAGAAATGTGGCAAATCCCTGTGTTTTTGGACCCTGACCCCGCGGATCTGCGTGAGGGGTGGCACCGAATTTCAGAAATGTGGCAAATCCCCTGTGTTTTTGGACCCTGACCCCGCGGATCTGCGTGAGGGGTGGCACCGAATTTCAGAAATGTGGCAAATCCCCTGTGTTTTTGGACCCTGACCCCGCGGATCTGCGTGAGGGGTGGCGCCGACTTTCAGAAATGTGGCAAATCCCTTGTGTTTTTGGACCCTGACCCCGCGGATCGGCGTGAGGGGTGTCGATTTCGAGCCCCCCCAGCAATTCAGACAACGCGCCCAGGTGAGGCTAAAAGTCTTGTTTGGGCTTCCCTCCCCTCGCGCGGTCAATCAACTAGTTACAGTAACCAGCAAGAAGTCAACTAGTTACAGTAACCAGCAAGAAGCAGAACTGTAACACTGGAAACTACAACCTACGACTGGTACAGGTAACTGCGAATCACGTGCCTCGCAGCCTGGTGGCCCCACAAGGGGGCCGGCGGATTTTCTAGTATACGCGTCGTGGCGGGCGCTTTCTGGCCACACCGCTCGGGAAGCGATATACTACAAGCTGGGTATACTATGTTCGGGTCGGACGCGCGCCTCCAAGGAGAACATTTAGTATCAGTGTGTCTCTGTGCGTCCCATATCATGACATCATTCTTGCCCCTGGACGTCTCTGGGCGCCTCTGGGGCATGCCTGGGGAGGGGTCTTGTGGGGTCGAGGTTGGGGAGGAGCTTCGAGGACCGAGGGCGAGGGAGGAGCCTCGAGGATCGGGGAGGACATCCAGAGTCGAGGATCCAGGGAGGAAGTAGAGTTAAGTCGGGCCTGTTCCTCTACAGGAGGAATATTCAAGAATAATCAAAACTAGTCTTTTTTATATGTCCTCCAAAATCCGCCTGTAAGGGGACATGCCCGACCTAAAAGTAGAGGATCGAGGGTGAGGATCGAGAAGGCCTTGGACGCCTCCTGGGCGCCCCGAGGGCATCCTGTGGGGCGGGGGGGGGCCTTGGTCGAAGGGGAGGGCCAGCCTCCTGGAGGCGAGGCGGCGACCTCCTCGGCGGTGACCCCCCGGGGCACTGCCTGGGTCTTTCGGGGGAGGAAGGATGTCGCAGGCCTAGAGAGGTTGACACCAACACCGCTATTGGCGGTGTGCCTCCACCGAGGGAAGAAGATCCCGACCTCGGTGATGGTGGTAATATTCTGGCTTCCGAGGTGGTCGAGAGATTACCACCAACACCGAAATCTAGGATCACCTTCCCCCTGTGGAGGCAACCCCCTGTGTTGGTGTTGGTGCCCATTTCCAGGCCTCCAAAGATGGGCACAGGCACAAGTACACCCAGAGATCCGACGCTCCGAACAAGAGCGGGGCGGCCGGTTTTCGGCCGTCTTCGGCCTCTGGGGGCCCTCGCCAGACCTCGGGAGCGTCAACAAACGACTCAGGACGAAAAACCGGCCCTACAGGGAAGCAGTGCATCGAAACAATGGGAGCGGCCGGATGTCTGGGAGCGTCGAGCTCCAGGAGAATGTGGGAAACGATAGGGAACTGGGGGGAACACGCACACACGCCCAGCACATATGGGCAAATTTAGGGAATCCTGCTTTGGTTGTCTATCTGTCTGTGTCTCCCCGGGCCCCTTCTATTTGTGGGTGGGCCGGATAGTTTCGGGAGAGCGGGGGCGGAATCGCGGAGGCCCTGACGCGGCGTCGACGGACATCCCCGAGTGCCTCCTCGTGTCATTTCTGAGGAGGAGGCGGAGGAGGAGGAGGAGGAGGAGGAGGAGGAGGAGGAGGAGGAGCAGGAGGAGGAGGAGGAGGAGGAGGAGCAGGAGCAGGAGGAGGAGGAGGAGGAGGAGGAGGAGGAGGAGGAGGAGGGGGAGGAGGAGGAGGAGTTTGGAGGGAGGAGGAGGAGTATGAGGGAGGAGGAGGAGGAGGAGGAGGAGGAGGAGGTTTTAGGTCCAGGGGAAGGATTAGGGGAACGGGGCGGGGGCGACGACCTCGTGCAGCACCCGTTTGCCCTTCCATCTCGATTTGGTGCTGGGGCGCGCCACTGACCTCAACGCTCGGGCGATTTCTCGCTCCCAATCTCCGAGGCACCTCCAGCAAGTCAGGCCGTCTAGAAGCGAGACGAACGGAAACGTGGTGATACGCCCCTGGGAGGCTCGCCACTCATCTTCTTAAACTCCATAATTGGGATCCAAATTCGTGCTCCAGTCGAAAATCCCCAAAAGTCGAGGATGGGGATCTCCATTCAGCCCGTTTAGCCCCCGGCCATCCTGCCCCCGTTGGAGCTGAAACTTCTGAAACTTCGAGTTTTTTGCCCTGGCCATGCTTTTCGGCCGCCGAGGACCCCCCCCTCCACGCTGCGCTTGTCCTCCTCCTACTACCTCCCCCTCCTGCTCCTCCCTCCCTTTCCCTCTCTCGCTGTCCACTTCCCCTCCCATCCATCCACATGTTTTTGATGATTTTCGCAGGCACTGCGGCGCACAGCGTTCGAATGCACCACAGTGCTCGTGTGCGCCGCAGTGTCAGTGTTCACTCCAATGCCTGTGTGCACTACAGTGCCAAATTGCAACACAATGCCCGTGCGCACACATGCTCACGCTGCCCTATATGCACCACAATGCCTGAATTGCGGTGCCCACCAACAGTTTGGTGCCCACACGCAGAAGGATCATAGCGTGCGCAAGCGTCGCGGTCCACGCAAGGTTGTGGTGCGCGAGTGCACTGCGGGGCACTGGTGCACGTGCAAGCACTGCTGTAGGCGCGCAGGCATTGTGGTGCACGCGGTCACTATTGGTTTCGTGGTGCACGCAGGCAATGCCGCTCTCGTAGGCGGTGTGCGCGTGCGTGCACACAGGTGCTGTCGTGCAAGCAGGCGGTGTGGTGCACGCAGGCATTGGGGTGGGAGACACGCGCTGCGACGCAGACAATCGCTGGAGTGCATTCAGGCATTGCGCGAAGCAGTGCCTGCGTGCATCGAAATGTTTTTGAACGTCTGGCATGTTGCATATGTGCGCTCAGGCGCTGTGGTTCGCGCAGGCATTGCCTGCGAGGCGGTTTGTCGGGAGGCGTGGTCTCGCTTGCCCGTTGGCGTGATCTCGCCCAGCATTTTGGCCAACTCCCCTGCTTCGCGCCCTTCAGTTCGTAGGAGGCACCCGTCCTCAGGCCAGCCTGGGCCATTCTGAGCGCTAGGACTGCGTGCAGACCTCCTGGCATCGACCGGTGTATACATGTCGCCAGGGCCCAGGATGGCCCTGGCCAGGCATGATGGTGGAATATGGGTCCCCTCTGTGTATCCATGGCACCCTGCCCTCTTCTCCGCCTGCTCGTCTGTGCGGGTTGCCCCTTGTCCTTCCCTTGGCCCGCTCCTGCCGTGCCGGCGGGTGGTCTGGCGGGTCCTCGTCGGCGCTGGGGGGGCCAGCGGCCTCCTGGGGCTGCCTTGGTGATGCGTCGGAGGGGCCCGATGTACTCTCCACGCCGTTTAGGCGGCCAAGGAGCCAGTGAGTTCTGCGAGGGCGGTGCACGCTCCAGCGTCCCACAGCGTGGGAAGTTTGGGCGTCCATAGCCCGAGCTCCTTGGCCGACCTGGCCACCTGGTGTATGCATCGAGCGCTTCCCCATGTGGAGGGTGACCCTGGCGGCAGCTGCGCGGGGCCCCAGGTCGCGGCACCGCGCAGGCCCGCGCTGGGGGTCCCTGGTTACCGCTGCCGCTACCTGCTGCAAGGCGGCTCGCCAGCCGCCCGAGTGGTGCGAGCGCGTGTGGCGGGCGCCGCACGCTGCCCTTCGGGGGCGGGCGGCACTGGATCCTTTGCCTCACTCTCTGCCTCTCTCATCCCTCCGTCAATCCTCGCTGCTCGTCACTCCTCACCGCCATGCGGCACCACTCAACGATGTGCTGTTGACCGAGCTTGAGTGGTGGGTCCTTTCTCCTTTTCCGTGCGTTCCATCTTAGGCTTCGGCTTCAGCTGTGGTGTAGCTCGAGGCGTTTTCGGGCCAGCTCACCCGAGTCGTTTTTTCGCTCGTACAGATGCCTCCCCCAAAGCCCTCCAGGCTTCTAAGAAGCCTTTGAAGAAGCATCCAGGTGCGTCCAAGAAGGCGCTCACCCTTCGAAGAAGCCCCCCGCTCGCTCCCTCGCGCCACTCCCCTTGTGCGCGCCGCCAGCCCTCACTCCTCCTCCTCGTCCTCTCCGCCCCTCCCCTGCCCTTCTGCGCATCTCCTCCGCTCGTCCCCTCCGCCCCCCCTCCTCGTCTTTTCCGCCCCCCACCTCCTCCCACTCCCGCTTCCTCCTCGTCCTCTCCGCCCCCCTCCTCCCCTCGCCCTCTCCGCCCCCTCCAACCTCTCACTCCTCGTCGCCCCTCCTCTCCTCCTCCTCCTCCTCCTCCTCCCCCTCCTCCCTCTCCTCCTCCTCCTCCTCCTCCTCCTCCTCCTCCTCCCTCCTCCTCCTCCTCCTCCTCCTCCTCCTCTCCTCCTCCTCCCTCCTCCTCCTCCTCCCTCCCTCCTCCCCTGCCGAAGGTGGCCTGGCAGGAGTGGCTGAGCCTCCGGGCGGCCTCACGCGCCGCAGGCCGGGCCGAGGTCCGCCGCCTCGAGCCACGCCGCACGCGCGGGCCTGGGTCGGCGGTGGCGCCCTCCTCCTCCTCCTCCTCCTCCTCCTCCTCCTCCTCCTCCTCCTCCTCCTCCTCCTCCCTCCTCCTCTCTCTCCCCCCTCCCTCCTCCCCTCTTGCTTCTCCCTCCTCCCTCCTCCCTCCTCCGTCCTTCTCCTCCTCCTCCTCCCTCTCCTCCTTTTCCTCCTCCTCCATTCCTTTTCCTCAATACATAACTCCCCCCTGTCGCACCCCTAGGCCAGTTTTTAGGGCGGGCTGGGCGTTTCGCCTGAGATTTCCTCACCATTTACGACTCTGAAGTTCAAACATTGGCAACAGTTTCACAGATGGATAGCGGGTCGTTTTCAAAATGTGGCTCTCGCCTTAGCGCGGCGTATATTTTTTTTTTTTTTTTTTTTTTTTTTTTTTTTTTTGCAAGAGTTTCACGGATGGAGGGCGGGTGGTTTTCAAAATGTGGCTCTCGCCTTGGCGCGGCGCACATTCGCTTCAAACATTTGCAAGAGTTTCACGTATTGAAGGCGGGTGGTTTCCAACATGTGGTTCTCGCGTTAACGCGGCGTACATTCGTTTTTAAACATTTGTAAAAGCTTCACGGATTGATGGCGATTCCTTTTCACATGTTGTCATCGATTTGGCGCGGCGCACATTCGTTTTACCATGTTGCAAGAAATGGTGTTTTGAAAGGATTCAGGATTTTGCGGGTGCAGCAGTTATGTTGATTCGCTGTGTTGAAGTCCCAGGAACGGTGTTCTGGCACGGTTCAGGATTGTCAAGGCGCAACAGTCAGGTTGATCGGTCGCGTTGGAATCCCGAGAACAATACTTTTGCATGCTTCAGGGTCTTTAAACAGTTGTCTTCCAAAGAGGCAGTTCTTTCAATGGTAATAAACCGTTGTAGGGGCCTATGAAGAGGGAGCTTGGAGGGAGGGTGTCTTCCAACAGGCTCTTGGGTTTACACTGGTCCTCCTCCTCCTCCTCCTCCTCCTCCTCCTCCTCCTCCTCCTCCTCCTCACTCCTCCCTCCTCTCTCCTCCTTTCCTCCTCCCTCCTCATCCTGATATGATCCTCCTCCTTCCTCCTCCCTCCACCCTCCCTCCCCTCCTCCCTCCTTCTCTTATCCTCCTCCTTCTCCTCCTCCGCCTCCTCCTCCTCTTCCTCCTCTCGCCTCCCTTCTCTCTTCCTTAACCCTCTCCCTTCTCCTCCTCCTCCTCATCTTCCTCCTCCCTTCTCCTCCTCACTCCTCCCTTCCTCCTCCTCCTCTCCCTCCTCCTCCCTTCCCCTCCTCTTCCCTTCTTCCCTTCTCCTTCTCCTCCTTCTTCTTCGGTTTATGTTTCTTCTTCTTGTTCTTCTTATTCTCCTTCTCCTCCTCCTCCTTCTCCTCCCCCTCCTCCTCCTCCCTCTCCTCGTCCTCTCTACCTCCCCGTCCTCACTTCTGCTCGCGTGCCCCAACCCCCCCTCGGCGCCGGCGACCCCGAGGGTCATCGAATTCCATACCCCTCTCGAGAGATCGTCGATACGGTGGGTCCCCCCGGGGGTGCAAGGGACACTGCTCCCCCAGTTGCGGCTGGTCGGGCCTGCCACCACCTCCGTCCGGCTTCGTCCTCCCAGGTCTCGTCCAGCCCCCCATCCGTTTGGCTTCGTTCTCTCATGTCTCGCCCTCCCCCCCAGGGCCCTTTTCGATTCGATCGAATCGGTTTGATGTCGAGTTCGCCTGGCCCAATCTTGCCTGAAGATTTCGATGTTAGCATCTCGATTCCCCGACGATCCGACGTGTCCCGATGCCTGCGTGGCGCTTTTGTGCATCCTGGTGCTGCCGATCCGACTCGATTCTGGCTCCGTGCAGGTGCCGCTCCATCCGACGCACGTTCCTATCTGATCTCCCCTCTCGATGCGGACCGATCCTGCCCCTCCCGCTGGCCTGCGTGGTCGGCCGTCACTGCTCCTGCCGTTGGCGGCTGGCGTCCCCCTGGGCCTGCGCGCGGGCTCGCTGGGGGCCCAGCCCACGCCGGGTCGACGCGGGGGGGGGCAGGGGCGTGCGGCGAGGTGCCATGGGGGTCCTCCTCCTCCTCCTCCTCCTCCTCCTCCTCCTCCTCCTCCTCCTCCTCCTCCTCCCCCTCCTCCTCCTCCTCCTCCTCTTCCTCCTCCTCCTTCTCTTTCTTTTCCTCCTAGCCGTTCTGGCCCAAGTTTTTGGGCTTGCAGGAGCCGTCTTCAGAGCGGCAGCCGCTCCTGCGGGTCTTTGTGGCTCGGAATCTCTTTTGTGAGCTCCTGTTGGAGCAAGCTATCCTGAGACAAGCTGTGCTGTGCATGGCTCGACGTGATGAGGCGGATGTACTCCCAGGGCCCCGATCGCCCTTCTGGGGGTGTCCAAGTTGTGGCAGGAACCAGAATTTCGCTTGTCGGATACGGTGCCTCTGTGGGCAGTCAGCCCCGAGGGCAAGTGTGGAGCGCGCGCGCACCGCAGCTGCCGCTCTGGGCTCATCGGCTCGTGCTCCTCCTGGCGTACCTCCTGGGCAGCCTCGCGGCCCTCGCGGTGCGTGGGCCAAGGGCCCCCCAGCCGATCTGTCAGGCCAGCTGGCAGCCATGGAGAAGCGCATCATGGAGAAGGTCGCCGCCAAGTCGTCCCCTCCCGCGGGTGTCGCGGCCAACGGAGGTGGAGGCGGCGGCTCGGCCCAGGCTGGAGGCGGTGGCGCCGAATCTCAAGCCGCACCGACTTCGGACGATGACAAGCTACGTGTTAGAGTGCAGCACTTGGAGGAGTCATTGCAGGCTCTTCGCAAGTGCGATGGAGTACCAGCGTCTGCCATTGAGACCGTGGAGGGTGAGCTCAAGGCGGCGCGAGCGGAGGTGCAGTCCAAGAAGCCAGTGTTGTCCCGTGCTACCACGTTGGGCCACAAGCTGGCGGACAAGCAGAAGAAGTTCGAGGCTCTCGACAAGTCAATTGCGGAGCAGAATATGGTTGTGGAGCAGGCGCAGCGGGCGTTGGCGGAGCTCAACGACCGACAGCGCAGCCTGCGCGTGGACATCGACGCACTCAAGATCGAGTTGCAGGCGGCGATGCAGCAGGTGGCGCCCTCGGCCCCCGAGCAGCAGGTGGAGGTCGACCTGGAGCTTGACCCGAGCGTGCTCGAGGGCCCTGAGGCGGAAGGGGTCAAGACGATGCTGGCCTCGCCCGAGTTCGCCAAGTTCAGGCAGCTCTATGCGGCCAAGGCGGCAGCGGCGCGTGACCAGCAGCAGGCCGCTCCTCGGGTTCCTGGTGGTGGACAGGGTGCAGTACCAGGAGCCGCTCATGAAGCGGCCGAGGTCAGTGCTGGTGATGACGACGTGGACATGGAGGAGCTCTCCGATGAGAAGGTGCAGCAGGTCATCGCCGCGGCGCGGAAGGAGGGCCCCGACCACGAGAAGGAGGTCGCGGACCTACTCAAGCAGTTCGGTATCAGGGCGAAGAAGCAGCGGTGCGGGTGACGCCCTTCACTGCTGCCGTGCGCCCCTCTTGTCAGGCATTCCGCTGTCCTCTTCTGGAGTCCCTGTGCCACCTCTGCGTGGAGGCCCCAAGGTAGCCAGAGGGGGCCCGTTTTTTTATTGAGACGTTCAACGGTTCTTGTTGGAAGACACTTCGGCGAAGGTTACGAGAGACTTCGGCGGTGATTGTGTGCGCCCAGGAGATAGGCATCAGTGATTCCTTCTTGGGACAAGCTACGGCCTCGGCACGCTCGCTCGGTTTCCACGCCCTGTTCGGCCCCTCGTTCTTGAACCCAGAGACAGGCAAGGTCTCGTGCGGTGTCGCCGTCTTCGCTCGGCTCAGCATTGGTTTACGATGGCCTCCAGAAGGTCCTGGCCCAGTTGTTCCTGGACGAGCTATCAAGGTTCTGGCGGACTTCCCTGGTTGGCCCACGGTGACGGTTTTCTCGGTCTATTTGAAGACATCGGAGGGCCTCAGCGAGGCCAACGTACAGATGATCGCGAAGATAGGTAAGCAGGTGAATGACCCAACTCATACGATCCTGGCGGGGGACTGGAATCTCACCCCACAGGTTCTGGAGGCCTCTGGAGTTCCACGCAAGCTGGGGATGTTGGTTTTGGCGCCGATTGAGCACACGTGTCGTACTCCGTCTACGAACACAATTATAGATTTCTTCGTCATGGGCCCCGGTTTGTCTAGATTGATCTCTGGAGTTGCAGCGGTCATGTCTTGGGATGCCAAGCCCCACAGACCTGTCCAACTCAAGGTTCGTGCAGATGCTCTTTCCCTCAGGCAGCTAGTGTACCGTAGTTATCAGCGCCTACCTGTTGATGTGCCTTTTGGACCGCGGCCTCAACCACCAGCGTGGCAAGGCGCTCTTGCTCACGCTGCGCAGGCAGCGGCTTGGGCCATGCACGAGAAGGCCACGGTGGCCTGGAGGGTTTTGAATAATGCATGGGCGCAGTTTGTGGACGTCGCCGAGCTGGAGCTTACCCGCACTTTAGGTTTCGAGCCGAAGGAGTTGGGCGAGCGTTCGCGAACGATCAAATCGTCTTGGGTTTCAGTTTTCTATCGCCCGAAGGATCCTGAGGATAAGCTCCAGATCGCCGTTGGTTGGAGGTGGCTGTACCAGTCTTTTCAAGAATTTATTCTGACGGTGCAAGATGCGACGGAGGACACCGTCCAGTGTTGCATCCAGCTTCAGGTATCGCTCCAGGACTCCTGCCCTGGCGAAGGCCTGTCTGTGCGCCTGGATGCCTCCCTCCGTGCCATGCGCACTCTGGCGAGGAGCTGGCAACACCACAGCAGCTTCCATCGGCAGGAGTGGCTTGAGCTAGCTCAGCAGCTGTTAGAGGATGTTCGTGAGGATTATGAGCAAGCTGGGGTGGATGGGGATCGTATACAGCGGGAGTCGTGGGACCTCTGGCAGGAACGGGCCCTCGCTGGCTCAGCTCGGATAATGCATCGTTTTACGAAGCTGAAAAAGGTTTGGCAGCCGACAGTTATCCAGAGT